ATTTAACTTAAAGAAATTATCAGCTAAATAATTAATTATTAAAAACGATCGTCGCCACCGAGTATTAGTCACTAAACAAAAACACGGCATAAAATAATAAAATTAATTAATAATAATAACAATAATAATTCGCTTCTTAAATTCTGCAATTCTCGAAATTCAATGTAAATTTAAACGTAATATTATTATGTATTATGAATCTATGAAATCGATGTGATTTGAAATAGCTAAATTAAATGAAATTTAAAAAGAAAAAGAAGAAAATAGGACTTACAACAGCAACAGCATGCGACGCAAGGATTTCATCTTGTGTCAACACCACAAAATAAGCGACGTTTGCCAGGACATAAATTACGGTGACTAACGGCAATGATATGCAAATCGCCTTTGGAAGATTCCTACAAAAATGATAATTACACATTGTAGATAATATTTTCGATTTGCCGTTTATCGTTGTTCATTCCACTGCTCGAATACTTCGTGAGGGATTTTAAAAGGACAATTTCGATTTTATAGCCATCTTCTGATCATCCTTTCGATACTTTAGACAAAGAAAGATATTAGTTACAATACAGTTCCACACGTTTTTCCTAGAAAATCTGTATTTGGATTGGACAATTTCGTTGTAGTGGTAAAAAATGTTTAAACAATGCTTTCTTATGAGAAACTACATAATATCCCTGTTTTTATATCCTTCTTATTCTTTACTCTTATTCTTATTAAGAAAAAAAAGATTGATTTTTTTTACATATCAACAACTAAAAGTTTGAAGCAACGAGCACAAAACACAAGTGAGTCGTAAACACGAAAATCCCATTCATGCTTTAAATATAAACCGCATAAGATCATTCACCGATGGGTCACGTTTACTCCGTTTCAAATATAACTCTCTAAATTTTACAGAGATCTTTGTTTGCGTCTTTGCGAAAAGTTTTTCTTTCCCTCTATCTCTCTTTAAAAATAAGAAAATTTTTGGATAAAAGATTTCTTTAACAAATTTTGCAGAAAATGGTGCATTATGTTATAAAAATAAATGTATCATGTCTATTGAACAGTATTATAGGACAAAATGCTATTTATCATAAGCGATGCATTAGAAAATGGTTAGACATTCCGCAACGATTAGTAATCTGTAATTGACAATTACGAAAGTTAAGTAAATAAAAAATTTAGAAACATTGGATTTCTCTTTAATGTAATATTATTATACCAAAGGTCGAAGTGTCTTGAAAAGAAAGTATATGATTTAGATCACTTTTATAAATTACCAGGTGTACGCACACAAACTTTTCTAAAATCTGAGACAAGTACAATGAATATTTTTTATTGTAACAGTGAATGAAGGATAAATTACTTATAAGGATCTTTGAGTTCCTCGGTGACGAAATTCAGATAATTCCAGCCGGAATAAGAGAAGAGACCCGAATAAACAGCCAGAGCGATGTAGCCGGGCTGTGTGTTAGTTCCATCCATGGGATGGTGGAAATTCTCCGTGTGACCCATGGAGAGCCACCACAGTCCAGCGACCATGATGATCACCAATGCAAAGATTTTGGTCCCGGTGAAGATGTCCTGTACTCTGGTCGCCCATTTCACGTTGTAACAGTTGATGGCAGTCAGTAAACCTACGAATAATAATTTCATAATTTTATATTGAACAATCAATTTGCATGATTTTTGGGACATGAGAAATTTAATCGAGAAATGACCATTCCCTTCCCTTATAGATGATTAAAAACCCAGTTGACTCTTGAGTAAAGCATTTAAATGATAAAGTACATTCTTTAACCAGAATGTATGTATCAAGTTTTAACGGGAATTAAAAAGGAGAAACAATAGTTCGTATAAATTACGTCAATTACCGACAACATGGTTAAAAAACACGGAGACGCAAAATTCTTTGCGAAAAATCAAAAATAAATTCTTTAAGTAAAAACTGCTAAAACTACTGAAAAGTCAGTTATTATGTACTTCCAATCTTTTTCTACTCTCGTTTAATGTTTGCCTGACATTCTTGACACTGTCAATAAGTTAATGACAATTTATTGCAATTATTTGGGAACATATTCGTGAACAGATACACAAATGCTTTTCAGACCGCACTGCTTCTTGATTATTTATTGGAAATAAAAAAATCAGAAATAATAAACGTATGTATCACTATACGAATATTCGTTTTCATTTTGACTAGCTCTACATGCTCACCAAGTATGTCTATTAAAACGTTTCGATAAAATCAGTTGCGGTTGGTCTTTACATTTTTACATTCTACAGTTCCTTTCGCCTTGTTTCGGCCTTGTTTGAGCAACCACCAGAAATGGAAAGACAGTAATTGCGACACGATTAATTCTCTAAGCAACTGGAGATCACATGTGTTGCGCCTTTCCAACATTGCCTCTATTTTAAGACTTTTCATCACTAGGTTGAACTTTTATATTTCATCGTACGAAATTAGATCATTTAAATGGAAGAACAAAAGTCTGATGAGTTGATATGACATTGTGCAATCTTTCTCGATGCCACAAAGAACAAATTTTGAAAAAGAACAATTTTAAGTGCCCTAATATTTACAAAACTTACCGAGACCTAAGAGCATTTTGAAATATTTTTAATAATCTACCTCCTTTTATTGCTCTGAATTTCTTAACACACTGTTATTATAATACTATGGTATTCTTACATGTAATAACAGCAGCAAGCAGTCGCACCGCTTCATACGGGGGTACACATCCAGGCCAAACTGGCTGCAGGATGTATTGTGCGAATGTTAGGGCTGTGATCGCGTTCCCAGTCGGAACCAGGATGAACAATGCGACCCAGAGGTACAGGAACGCTGGCAAGGGTCCGAAAGCGTCGCTGATATATGCATAATCGCCCCCAGACTTTGGAATCATCGTACCTGAAAATTCACGTATTTCTCTCAGAGTAATTTTCACGAACAATCTTGCCATTATTTTTTTCTTTTTTATTTACATAGAATTAATATTGCATATTATTTCTTTATTGTATCTCATAGTTACTTGAAACACTTTCGTTAAAATCTCTATTCTGCGCTATTAAATGGAAAGACTTCTCCTATTTCATCTTTTTCTATACATATTTCTATATTTATGTGAAATGTTAGTAAAAAAGGAAACAAATTAATATGTGCAAAACAAGAAACGGTACATTTATGTTTATATGCTATTATAATATTAGTCCAGTGATTGAACGATTACATTCTGAATAAAGCGACAACAAACTTTTGTACACTTTATACATACGTAAAATATGAATAAAGATGACCCAGTCCTAATTTCTTTTTTCACGATATGCCAAATAATACAATACAAAAAGAATTCTCAAACAGAATAGATTTCACAGTTGTATACTATTGGCAGAAACACGTATTACTTTCATAGAGTTCGAAATTACCTTTCATACCTAACGAAATGCAGGAGATTTACATAGACATATGTTTGAGGAAGCACCGATAAATTCGGTTTTATTTTCAAAAGTTGCTGTTTTCTAATTTTTTTCATCAAATAAGACTTTCGCGCTTTTATATAATTTGAATGTACATTTATTAAAGTTAAAAATAATGTCAAATTTATTGAAATATCCCAGTGTTGTAAGCACAATTTTAATCTTTAAAATCAATACAATATGGTACTAGTATTAAATTCTAATAATTAGTACGCATATGCTTAAGCATTGCAAATAAAATAAAGGAATAGCTTTGAAATGAAAGAGGAAGAACTTCCTTGGATCGCATGTTGCAGAGATTTCACCAAGTCTTTCACTTATTTTAATATTTTAAAAGTTATTTGTTAAACAGGGAAGTCTGCGAATCGGTCGCCACTATACTTGAGCTTGTTCTGATACTTTAACAGAAAGGGAGAATTTTTCGACGTAAACAAAATTGTGAAGGTATCTTTCTTGCATTCAAAATTGGAGTTATTTTGTATTGTCTAAATAGCACAATATATTCTTCCTTTCATATTCTTAGAGTACATAAAAGTACGAATTTAATAACATAACGGTGTGTACCATTTTAATTATTTATTATACAGAAGGTGGGATGCAGTTTGTACTCTGATTACTTTTATGTCTTTCATAACGTTTACAATTTTAACTTACCTTATATGTTTGTTTACGTTTGTGTCTGCGGTGCGTCATTGTTATGTATCGACAATCAACTCGTAAACTGTATTTCAAATATAATGTAAGAAATGCAAGATTTCGGCGGCGAAGTGGTGGCCTGGACTTTGTCACCCAGGAAGAGAAAGCGCGCGGGTACCTGAAGGTACCATAAACTAAGCCCCGGAAAGTCGAACGAGGGGGCTTCAACGGTTTTTCGGAGCAACGCGGGATACGACGCGGAGAGGACACTCTGGAAATAGCCGTCGAGCGAGACGGACACCGAATTTTTGGTTAATACCCTATCCTGTGTTAAATTTACGTAAGTTGTGCTGACAATAATATAAATTATTTTAAGATTAGATACTTAAAATGATACATGCTGTTGTGTTACCGAACTCGTGTTTTTATGTAATATAATAACTCAAATTGTTTATGAAAGAAAGATACTTTCAAAATTTTGTTTACGTCAATAAATTCTTCATTTGATATCAATGAATTTTTGTTAAATTATCAGAATCAATTCAAATATTGAGGCGGCCGATTCGCAGACCACCGTATACATAATACGTAAGTATTATACATATATACAGGGTGTTCAGCGTAATGGTCGCCACGATTTTTCGTTCGGCACTTCTGGCAGTGTAAGAAAACAAAACTTGAAATAAAATGTCACGAGTACTCGATGGTCAATAAATTACAAAAATAAAAACTGCAAACATTATTTTTTCCACAAATAATCGGGGTCACCTGCATTTTTTAAAATGACACCGTAGAACTTTTTCTACGTAGTATTGAAAGTGACATTGGGACGAATTCAATAATGTACAATATCGGTACATTCGTTCATCAAACTTGTTCAGAAAAACACTTTCAATGTAATAGAAATGCTTATGAACGCGTAAGGTTATGGTTATAGTTACGGTTGCCATTTATAAAGTCACTAATCTAGAATAGAGAGCATTAAAACCTCGGACTTTTCTGCCTGAAACTCGGACACTTCAACACTTCAAAATGCATTGCTATCCGGTATATTAGTAGAGGTGCGTCTGACACATGCAAGATCACCGCACGCAACGCACAGATAATATGATAACACGGATGATCGGTGGGGGGCTAACGGTTTGAACAGCAAACAAACATCGGAAAACCCGTATCACTAGAGAAAATCCCCCCGGACGTCCCCGGCCGCATTAAAAACTAGGACAAATCCGGGTAAACCTGGGGACGGATGGCAAATCCTAGTTACAGTGGATGCGTATTCGGACGAATTGACATTATGACGAACTCGCTACGTCAAAGTAATCAAATATACATACATATATACAGACAGATTCTTATGAGTGCATGCATTGCAGTCTTCAGATGTTTCATCCGTCAGACCGTCAATTCGTTCGAATAACATTTTGCAACAATATATTAGCTCATACGGTGTATGCCATCGCATTATGGAAAAAAAAAAAAATATATGGTTCCATTTAAAAAAATGAACTTGACTTTGAAATTTCCTTCCATCACTCTGCCTGCAAAAAAAATAATTTGCACCATATGGTATCCCCGTTCATACCAAATAACTTTTGTTCAAACATTGTTTTTTGATAGGTTCAGTCCAATTTTTCAGGATAAAGGAAACACCCTGCATACATACATATGCTTATACTAAACTACAAAATTGCTTTAAGAATCTATGTGATATTTATTTTCCACTAACTCTTCATGAAATTTTGTCACGAATGTTTATGTACGATAAATTTAATAAACCAAGAACATGTAGATTTATCTATAAGAATATTTGTATTAACACATGAACATAAATTTGTAAACATTCTGCTTTCTAATATTGTCTTTCACAATTTCATATTACATAGATACTTTTACGCGATTCTCGTAAGTTTCTCTTACATTTTAATTTTGTTCATTTCAACAAACATTACTGCTCGAGAATTTTCTATGAATATTGAATTCAGAATAATTTGTATCGAACGATATTTCAAATGCAAACACATTTTGCATTAAATATTTTCAAGTATAATTTTAAATCCAAATGAGAAATTGCACTCTTTTCTTTTGGCACACGGATGTTAAACGTATTAATAGAACACACTTTGAGAATTTCTCTTCAAAATGTTTCAGAAGCCTTCTATTCATGTTTACAAACCTTATACTGCTACTAGCCAATTCATGAGTCACGATAAATCTAATTTGTAGTGAGTCTATATCAGTTAAACTCACTCATCTTGGTGAGTAGTGAAATACTTGAAACTCATTCAATCACCTACGAATTAAAGTGTACTTATGTAGTGTATACAATTACCAATGAAAGCTTGCAATACAAATTTAAGGCTTGTTATGTTCAATTTGACGGGATTTCACTAGCTAAATAGTCAGTGATAAAAGAATTGATTTCACTAATTGTGCATTTGAAGAAGGCTATAAATTGTAGGAGGTGGTCTAATGAACTTTACTCAAATCAGGATGTCGTGCAAAGTAGTTTATTTCGGACTCTTCGGCGTCCGTCTATTACCGAAGCTAAGAACCGACTCCCGTCGAATGGCAAAGATATCGCTGGGCCGAACCGATGGGTACTCGGGTCTGGTGTTTGTCACTCGCCATGAGGCGCAGGCCAAGCCATAAACCGTCCCAAAATGCCTACAAAATCTAATTCAGTTTATTAATAAGCTTATTTTCCAATGAACACTTCCTCTCAAGCATATATTTAAAAAGTAGTAATTTGTTTTTAACACAGTTATAACGCAGTTCAAGAAAATTTAAAAATGAAATTTACAATTAACACATTAATTGTACTAAGCCTCAAGTTTAAATATAAACTTATTGTAAAAATAAATGTACGTTCTTAAACACTATAGAATAATGGAACTATGATTATACATATACATACAGTGATCGAAAAAAGTATTCATACACCCTATAAAATGGAATAACTTTTTTAAAATTGGGCCAAACGAGTTGAGTTTTTTTTTAGAAGTTAGAAAGATCAGTTTACTAGATGATGTGTCAAAAAGTTGTTGAAAAAACTGCAATTAGTCGGAATCGCGAAGAAAATAGCGAAGGTAGTTTTTACAACTTTTTTATCTGAGCTCGTAATGAAAATTTCATCGAAATCGGTGGATGGAGAAACAAGCGACAGGCATCGAAAGATGTAAGAATCTGCAGATTTATGTATTACGTTCTAGGCGGAAAGTCGTGAAATTGTGCGATTTTCACAATCTTTAACCGTTTGTAGCTCATAGCAACGTTAACCGACTTCGATAAAATTTTCAGCGTGTGTATAATTGACATAGATCTACAAAACGTATTTCTTAAATTTTCATTACGAGTTCAGATAAAAAAAGTTGTAAAAACGGCCTTCGCTATTTTCTTCACGATTCCGACTAATTGCAGTTTTTTCAAAAATTTTTTGACACGTCATCTAGCAAACTGATTTTTCTAGCTTCTAAAAAAAAACTCAACTCGTTTGGCCCAATTTTAAAAAAGTTATTCCATTTTATAAGGTGTATGAATACTTTTTTCGGTCACTGTACATACATAACATATGTATTCGATATGACTTTGAATAAATAAACTAACATATTTTTACCTGATATTTCTTTTATAAACTAAACTAGTGCAATTATTTATTATAACAAACCCAACTTGCTGAAACAGATATAAATAAACTGGAACAAAAACATAGTAAGAACGTGTAGACTAATACAGAATACATTGAACGAAGTCAGTTGAATTACGTAACAATTAGCCGCATTGATAATTTAATAAAGT